TTAGTTAACACATAGTTTAATTATTGTAAAATATAAAATTTCTTGGTAAATAAAATTAATAATTTTCTAATATGTAGCTTTTCTGTGTCAATTTTTAAAATAGCTGGATAAATCTAGAAATATAAATTATAATCTCTTGGTTTTAGTATCAGATATTAGCAAAATAATAAAGAAACAATTTAAAAGTACCTTGTGCTTTCCAATTTATAATAAAATTAATTAGTTTTATGTCAATTTACGTATTATAACAGATGTTACAGCTTAGCATTTAAAAATGCGGTTACGTACTTATATTATCGATATACATTTTATAATTATTATTTCACTGTGATTAAGTGTAATTTTTCAATACTTGATAATCAATCTAAGTGGTTGTGAGCATTTCATACCGTAATATCAATGTTAATCAATAGCAAAAAATACAAAAATACCAAAGTGAATTATTCTAATAATAACAAACCAAAATAAATTTATTAAAATGAACCATAATACATTTTTTACATTAATGATATTTTGTACAGTTGTCTATCGTATGGACACTAGAAAATTACTACTACCGGAGCGCATAGTATGCGAACCTGGCTATACCTACGAGTTAAAAACAAATACGTGTGTACATCGACCATGCTCCGTTACACCAGACTGTGTTAAATATGACCCAAACACAGTATGCCTGAGCGGCAGTTGTAAGTGCGAAGACCAGTGGGTGCAAGATCTTGATAATTTTGGCAAATGTTTAATACCTAGGTCAAAAACTTATGACAATCCGTGCTCTGGGAGCTCCGAGTGCCTGGAATTTAACCAGCGATGTGTCGACCATATATGCCGGTGCTCTACAGAATATACATTTGATATGACCAAACAAATGTGCATGCTCGACCCGTGTCAACAAGGTCATAATGTCAGCTGTGTTTTGGCGTACGATAATTATAGACAGTGTGTGGTTAGTAATAGTACTTTTAGCTGTGTTTGTGCCAAAGGATACGAACAAGATCAATCTAACGGCAATAAATGCACCAAGGTGAAGGATAAGTTTATGAATCTAAATAGTGCGCTTATTTGTTTTATGGTCCCAATTTTGATTGTATTTATAGCGATGATTGTTGTGTATTGTCTTTGTAAAAAGTGATTATTTATTCATAGCATAATAAATTAATTATTTATACACAATGTTAAATAATTTTAAACTATTTATTAATTATTATTTTACTCGTTGTGCATAGTTTTAAATTTGTAACTGTTGTACATTTGCTACATAATGATTAAATAAAATCGTATCTTATAAACTTATTACATTTATTTGATAATTATTAATTAATTAATAACATTATCAGCTGACTCTCTCTCTCTCTCTCTCTCTCTCATACATTCTTGCACTTATATTCTACACATACGTTGGATCTTTTATAACATTATTATGCAATAAGTAATCAATAATTAATTAAAATGATAAAATAAACTTACGAGCTTTACACTTGAAAAATTATTCAATTGCTGTTATGCTCTGAAAATATTTATAAATTATCTAAAACGTACAAATATATTTACAAATTACCAAGATGAATTGCAATTAAATATGCAAAGTTTGCTTTCTAGCTACAATTTATTAGATTGTTAATAAATTAACTAATAATTTGATTCAACTTCTCAGTTTAAAAAACAATAAATTATCAAATTTACAACATTTATATTTATGACATAAATAAGATTAATAACATTCAAATTTTCCCAGAAATTATAAGTAAAAATTTGTTATCAGCTGTAATAAAATTCTAAATTTTAACATTATATGTTCAAGTTAAAATAAAAATTACTTCTATTGGTGAATTTGGATCGGCAGATTATACTATTGTTTAACAATTAAAACTTTATTCTTTTACATAAGATATATTAAAATATAATATTTATTTTAAAAATTATTTTAATAAGGAATGTTACTCGCGTGAAATTTTAATAACATATTATTGATATTATCAATATTATGATCATGATTATATCATTCATAAATGCGGTAAAAGTTGCATTTGTGAGACTAACTTGTAAGTGCGTAAAATTACCTACAATAATTGATGAATTGACGCAGATAAATGATTGTTATACATTAATGTATTGATTTAAACTTTAATTTAAAAGTCTAATTACATTAATTACAAATATTCAATAAACATCACAAAATTAATTGTCTTACAGAGTTATTCCGACTGGACTTATAATAATGTCTATTAATATAAACTAATGACATAACGAGGCATATAATAGCCACCGGAATCACAATACAGGGCACTATAATGAACACAATATTGTGTGGTTTAATTAAAACACATTTACGGCCATTAAATAGATCCTCGGCGTAACCATTACGGCAAACACAATACCCATAAGCATTACATTGGCGATGACTGTCCCAGCTCATCTCACAACTACCACCATCAGCTACATTGCACTTATCACGTACACAGAATTGTTGACTTTTATTGAACGTGGTTGAGGGTCGGCACCGGCACACGCTGTCCACACACCGCTGGTCCGTTTCATTGCACGCCATGTCGTCCGCACAGTACTGACCGTAAGTGTTGGGCGACTGTCCCGACGATACAGTTGTCGCCCGTTTATTAGGTAACTCATTGCTGTCGCCGTATTTTAGTACTGACACAATGCTAATAAATATATAATTGAATGTCCTTGGTGACATTGTATTATTATAATTTTATAAATTAAATGCTGGTTAGATTTAGTTTAATCAAAATTATAAATTTTTTTATAAAGTGTTAAATATTTTTTAATTAATAACTCATAAGATCTAAAATATAAATGTGAGCTAGTTAGAATTTGTGTAAAGTAAAATATTTCTAGCTTTAGGTTGCTATAAATAAAAATTGTATGTAGCAACAGATAGGTAGTGATATGATGTGCCTTGGTTAGGTTTAATTGCATTGTATTTAGTATCATTGATAAAAATATGTTCGTACAGTAGTTATTTGGTCTCATTTATCAATAATTTAAGAATTTATGTGTGTTGGGAGCATGATCGATTAATTCACACAATGTATGTATTGTATTGTATGTTATTTGCCTTTAGTACTGTATGTTAAAAGTATCAACTAATTTTAATTATTAGTTATAATTTAGATGAGAGAGAGAGAGAGAGAGAGAGAGAGAGAGATCATTTTAATTAATTATTGATTACTTATTGCATAATAATGTTATAAAAGATCCAACGTATGTGTAGAATATAAGTGCAAGAATGTAAGAGAGAGAGAGAGAGAGAGAGAGATTTATGGACACGGATATTATATGATAAAAGGTAGATGATAGGTTAAGCACAAAAAATACAAATGATTAAATAAATAAATACATACCACGTTTAATATAATTAAAATAAGTTTACTGTTAATGTTAAAAGTACGACTGATTTTGTTTTTTTCGCAATTTAATGACTAAAAATCATTTTTCATACAGAATTGGAGTAAAATATTGCGAAACAATTAAAAAATATTTGTTTTTACCTACATTTTTGTGTAATTGAAACAAGTAAGCATGTTAATAAATATTAACATTTTATACACACATATTGTACACTATAATCATGTGGCAATATTTAGGTTAAATTAAATATGAACAGTCAAATAATTTTTCAAAGTTGTGTATTTATATTAATTCTAGCTCAAAATTACATATTTTGTGGTAAACAACAACAACTAATAACAATAAACATTAATAATTAAAATGTGATTTTAAATGATAAAATATAGCAGACGTTGGGCCAACTGTCCGGTTAGGAAACTATACATTTAATGGCTATATATCCCAGATCTCAACACAAAGCCTTTATAACACACAAACAAATGCCACGACTCCTATCAATATATTTAAAGTAATTATTTATATTTTAAAAATCATAATCAATTTAATCATTATAAGACTCTAATATTTAGGGCATACCCTACGCCACACCCCCATTGGGGGACTTGCGGTTTAGGCGCACAGTTCCCATATATTACAATGAATACAAAACAATAAACGCCACAACATTTTCAAACATTTGCCTACAACACGGAAATGCAAATGAAAACGAGGATTGTCTGTATCTAAACATATGGACCCCAACATTGAATCCCAGTGCAAATATGCCCGTGATGATTTGGTTATACGGGGGAGGGTTTACCATCGGGGCCGGCAGTAACTTTGACGGCCAACAGTTGGCCATAAGAGATGTTGTTGTGGTTACTATGAACTACAGGTTAGGTGTGTTTGGTTTTATGTGTACCGATAGGCCGGATGCTCCCGGAAATGCCGGTCTCTGGGATCAGGCGATGGCAATGAATTGGACGCAACAATATATCACACATTTTGGCGGAAATCCCAATGATATTGTAATGTTTGGTCAGAGCTGTGGCAGTATGTCTATAAGCGCTCACATTTTGTCAAATGTATCAAAGGGTTATTTTAAAAAGGCGATTATGCAATGTGGTAAGAGTATATAAATTATTATGCTAATTATCAATATACTGTATTTTAAATAATTATTAAGTGCTATAATTTTTAAATATTATACTATTGATTTTCTATTATCTAGATAGCATTAAAAACTTTAGACTTAACAAAAATGATTTTAAACTTAAATTCTTGTATATTTATATAAATTCATAGTATATTGTTTACAAATTACAGGTTCAATGTTGAGCAACAATTTTGGCACAAGGTCTGCTAACCTTCAAATTGCTAAATTTGTGGCAAGTCTGACCGGTTGCAATATAAATGCTGATTATCAAAAATGTATCCGCAAACATAAGTCAGTCAAATTATTAAAACACTATGGTATACAACAACAAATATGAATATTAATACTATCCTAATGTTTTATTAATGCACCAAGCATATATTTGCAATGACAGGTATACAAGTTGGCAAAAATCTGACATCACGGCAAGTCGATGGTCTCATAGCCAAAAGGTTAGCCAGTTTTGTGGGCTGTAATATACACAAGGATTACGTGCAATGTTTGCGGCAAATGTCTGGACAAGGGTTAATTTTGGCTCAAAACAAGTCTTTGCTCTGGAATATAGGCATTGAAAAGACAATACAACTCATATCCGATATCTACCCCTTTTCTGTGTGTTATGGCGAAGAGTTTTTGCCCCAAAGTCCAGTCCAGTTATTAAAACAGCGCAATTTCCGGCCCGACCTACAGGTGCTTATGGGCCACGAGATTATGGACGGGACCATTTTTACGCCTATTTTTAACTATGTTATCCCTACGGGCAGTCAATATGTGCCGTCCGTACCATTTGCCTACATCAACAAACACATTGCTTACAGTAATTTACGGACATTATTTGCAAACACTCCGTACCCGAAAGAATTGGCCCAAAAATATACGCAAACATTTAGCAATTGGTATAATATTAGCCAAACTAATGATTTGCGGGCGACTGTAGTTCAGTCCCTATCCGACTATCGGTACACCTGTTCGACGGTATTGTTTGGACAGCTTTTGAATAAATACTCAAATTTTGCGGTTAATGTACACCAATATTATCTCCAATACGCCAACAGTAAATCACCTTGTTATAACAGCACGTGGTGTTATGGGGCTACACATTATGATGATTTGCCATTAGTTTTTGGTCAACCCTATTATCAATCAAATTATACGAACACTGATAGATATATGAGCGCTCTTGTGATGAATATATGGACACAATTTGCTAAAACAGGGTATTTTATTTTGTTATTAATTTTATCTTGAATAAATTTTTGATTTTATTACTTTATTTTCATAGTACTGTTCCGCCAGTAAATGGCAATCAATGGCTGCCATACACACCACTAAGTGATGGTAACGTTAGTATAAATTATATGCTATTGACGTCTGATTGGACAAAATTAGGAAAAGTATTTATGAATAAATATATGGGAAATAATGGTTTTAATCCACCGGTTATTCAAAATTGTAAATATTTTTGGGATCAATTAATTATTAAAGGATTTGAATAAAAGTGTTTTGGTTATATTAGTTTTAATAATTTTGTAAATTTAATATTGCAATTTACATAATTTGTTCATTAAATATTTAAAAATTGCATTAAAATGATAAGACATCAGATCCCGTTACCCACATTATAATATAAAATATATTCATAAATTAAATAACACTGTTTTAAAATTAAATTACAGTTTTAATAGATATACTAATGTCATAAATTATTCTTACTTATTAATTTTTAAATAAGTGAAATTTAATTAAAATAAATTTTATGTAATTAAAAAATGATCATTTTAATAAACCACATTTTTGGTTATAAAACACACGCATATACTTTTAATTAGATTTTTCATATATAAAAACACATTTAACACATTTGTTCATTAAATCACTGTTTATTTGTTTAATAAAATGCTGTTTTACAATTTATTTGTTAAATTAACAAGGTATGTTATATTAGATTTTTAGTATTTAAAAACTTACTTTATTTAACAATTATAAACATTTCTACTAGCTTATTGGATCATCTAGTACCAGGCGACATTTATATAACACTAATAGTCGGGCCACTAATTATATTAGCCTTTTTATACTACACTAAACTCCAGAAATACCCTCCTGGTCCTATTCCGTTGCCTTTGATTGGCAATATATTGTGTAAGTAATGTGCTACATCATTTTAAAATAACAACAAAATATATTTGACTATTATTTATAAAAATGTTTTTTGTTTAGTGTTTTATGGATATAAGAAACACTGGAATCTAGCCCTAAACCAACTATATAAAAGATATGGTCCGGTTATTACCATATGGATTGGCCCGTTTCCCTTTGTATTTATTGCGGATACTGAACTGGCACGTGAGGCTTTTGCCCAGGTAGAGCTAATTGGTAGACCACAGTTTGCACTAGGTAATATATTTTATGTTAAAAAGTTAGCATATAAAATAGCAATCTTAACATAGTTTGTGCCAAACAAAATTAAAATAAATTAAATATTACACTTAATTTGTCATAATTCAGTATAATTACAGTTTTTATTTGTCTTGCCCACATCTACAATAGTATAATTGTAAATCAATATAAAATAATTGACCGATCAATTGCCAATAATTTAGAATCATATCTATTTGAAATATATAAAATTCTGTAATTAAGTTTATGTTACAGTGTTATAATTTATACTTTTATAATAAGATAAATCAATTAATTTAGATTCTTAATAATCTCTCTCTCTCTCTCTCTCTCTCTCTCTCTCTCAAAATATATTTGTAGGCAAACTATTTTGCAACGATAAATACCAAGACATTGCCTTTAATGATAACTACTTGTCGTGGATGAGCCTCAAAAACGGCGCCCTTCCGGCTGTCAAGTAAGTTATATAACAATACTTTTTAAGCATTTCATACAATTTACTATACTTTAGGAGATTTGCAAATTCGGATGAATTGTCACAAATAGTGGACTCAACTGTAGCCGACACTATAAAAAGTATAGTAAACACCGAGGGCATTAACAAGCCATTTTCACCTCGGCCATATTTACTAGATATTGTGGTTAATGTTTTAGCATCGGCTGTTTTCAGTAAAAAGTAAGTGTGCTTTATCTAATTAAAAAAACTATATTTTTAAATTAAAAATATGTTATAATATTTAATTACATTTAATTATAAATATTAAACTAAAATAATTAAATTATTATATTATATTTTCATAAAGGTTTGATATAAACGGACCTGAATTTCAATGCTTTAAATACTGTTCAATTGATTGGCTATCAGACGTGGGAAACAATTATTACATTTATGAATTCATACCGATATTACGTCAGTTTCGGGCCAACCCTTTATCGCGTTATTCGCAATCATTTGACGAATGCATGGCTTATACGAGAAATGTGTTGAAACAACACAACAAAACATTTAAATCCAATAATTTGAAGGATTTTTGCGATGTTTTGATCGGCGCTAAGAAGGCGGCCGTCGATGAAAACAGCTATACAGCCGAGTGTTTCGGTGACGACTCACTCGTCGCTACACTTAATGACCTGTTTATCGGTAATTAATTTTAAACATTATGTATTTATATTAAATTTGCAAATTATTACATTAATCTACGTATTTTAATTAATTTAAATAAGTTTTACTATCATTTTATTAATAATTGACCGATTAACAATTTAATAAAATTATTTTTTTCGAATTACAAATAAATATTTAATAATAATTAAATTATAATTAAAATAACATTTAGTTAAACTACAACAATAATTAACTGACAAATCATTCATTTTAATTAATATAACAACTTAAATGTAAAAATATCATGTTTAATAAAATTTACTTAAAATTTAATTATTTTGTTAGTGGGAGTAACGACAACATTAACAACATTGCAATGGATGCTATTATACATCGCGTATAACCCGGATGTGTGTGAAAAGTTGCATGATGAAATCTGGTGCAGAATCGGCGACCGGACGCCCAATGCCGAAGACAGGGATCAATTAGATTACGTGATGGCGTTCATAGCCGAGTGCCTTAGACTTAGAAACCCCACACCTGTTGGTCTATTTCACCGAGCTATGTCCGACATTAATCTAGGTCAATTATCATATTACTATTTACAATAATTTACTTACTTACTCATAAATTTACTTGACCATGATAAAATCTAGGTAATAAATACCAGATACCCGCTGAGACCAGTGTTATCGTTCACCAGTACTCCATACTTACTGATGATAAGAATTGGGACAATGCTGACCAGTTTAACCCTAATAGATTTCTCGATGATTATGGCAGGTATGCATCGGTCAAGTTTATATCTTATATGCCGTTTGGCACCGGCCGACGTCTGTGTCCAGGAGAACAACTGGCCGCCAATCAACTGTTTATGATCATGGTCAGATTTTTACAGTTAACCCGTGGTTATAAAATAAAGCCAGCGCATAATAGTAATAATCATGGTGATCTCAAACCGGCCGAACATGCTAATTTGTTTATTCTATCACCAAAAGATGTTCAAATAAAATTGCAAATTAAGATATAAATTACAGTAATCTCTCCTTAACGTACTACAGTTTTCTTTCGTGCAATACACGCCTGAGTGGGGACTACATTGAAATACACAATAACCTCAGCACTCAAATACTATTTTAAATAATCTGCAAAAAGCTGTAAAAACTGTAACAAAAAGTTTGTTTTGTGTTTTTTTAGTAAACAACTGTAATGATTTATTAATAGTAAATTTTATTAATAAATGTTATCCAATACTTGTCTTAATTTTATTAAAAGGCATTTCTAGATTGTCATAGATTTAGTTTATTAAGAAAATATCAATTGTTTGAACACGCTGTACAAGTAACGACACGCCATCACTGACTTATGGGGTTGAAATGTAAAGTCAAATTAAATTACATAATAAATATAAAACATTAATATAAATAAGAAATACAACATTAAAACTAAA